GTTTTCCACCTCGTCAGCACCTGCCTTACATGTTTCGGCTCACCACGGAGCCATCATCAGAGGCATTTATAGTAGAAAAAGAAATCACCAACACACAAAACTTCACTTTGTCCAAGATAGCCACGTTCCAGTTAATTAAAATAATTACAAATAGTTAAAATTACCCAGAATGTCGGTTCACTAAAAGTTTTTCACACACCACAGTAGCTTCCTTATTTGATTCGTCGTTAATTCTGTAAAATTATGTTTCGTTATTTGAAGTAAGAATTCTTAAAATCCCTAGAATTCTTTCCCGCTTGGCCCAATCTTTTTGCTTCGGGATGTTGTTGACGTGTGTTGTCTGTAAATAAAAAGTTGTGGTTTTATTTAGATTGTATTATATAAGTTTTTATGTGTATATACTTTTAAGGTTCACTAACCTTACCTGTCGGTAGTTGATGTTGCTTGTCTGTGTGTTGTGATGCTTGTGTGCTTAAGGAGTGCTGTGTCGTGTGGTTTATGTATCCTGTGTTTGTGACGTCAGTGTGGGGGTGTACGAATCCTGTATTATGAGTTCGAAGAGGTTTTTTTGATTGTTGGTTTCTTTTATCTGTCTTTGTTCTTCTATTAATTTTTTGTGTTTGTTATGATAATATATTTGGAAATCTTCCTTTATATTCATTAGATTGCCCTTCTTAGCTGTTTCGAGGATTTCCATGATTGTGGTTATCGGCCCATATTGGTGTCTTGTGTTTAATATATGTTGGGCGAAGGCCGATTCGTCCTTATTTAATCTTATGTTGCGAATGTGCTCAGTGTATCGGGTTGACAGTTTTCTGCCCGTTTGGCCAATGTATACCTTTTGACAACTTTGGCAGGTCAGTTTGTAGATTCCGCTTTGCTCATATGGATCGATGTTTTTCCTTTCGTGTACTAGTTTGCCTAGTGTGTGGTTGGTTTTATAGGCTATCTTTATGTTTGTGTTCCTAAATAATTTAGTAATTTTCCTTATATAATTTCCCGTGTATGTGTATGTGATCCATTTTTGTTCTTTTTTCTCGTTAGTGTTTAGATTGTTTATTTTTTGTTTTAGTTTTTTGTGTATTCGTGTGATTTCATCTTTTCTGTATCCATTGTTTTGTGCAATTTCGATAATGGTGTTTAATTCTTTGTTTTTTGCTGTATCTTCGAGCTTTAGGGTAAGTAGTCTATGTATCCAGCTCCTGTATGCTGCTAATTTGTGTTCTTGGGGGTGACATGATGTGTTATTTATTGTTATGTCTGTTGATGTAGGTTTTCTGTAAATTTCCATGTGTATTCGTCCGTTATCATTAGTAAGTTTTAGGTCTAGGTAAGTTATTTGTTTATTTGTTTCCTCATTTAGTGTGAATTGTAAATTTTTGTTTTGTTCATTGAATTGTTTGAGTATGTGTTGTGGTGTTATTTTAGTTTGATTATAAATCATAATTATGTCATCTACGTATCTATTGTAGTAGACGATGTTTTTGTCTTCAAGTAGGTGTTTTATTTTACATTGTTCGAAGTGTTGTAGGAAGATTTCTGCCATTATGCCTGATAAAGGCGAACCCATGGCTATGCCTGATCTTGGCTTGTAGAATTTATCGTTATATTGGAAATAATTCTGGTCTAATATCGTTTTAAGTATAAGTATGATTTCATTTTTAGTGTTTCTTTCTGTGTGGTTTAGTATGAGTAGGTTTTTGGCTATGTTGAGTGTTTCATTTGTTGGAATGTTGACATATAGGTCTTTAATGTCCATTGTTATTATTTTGTGAGTTGTGTTTAGTTTTAGATTACTAATGTTTTCTGCGAAGTGTGCTGTATTGGTGATATTATATTCGTATTTTAGGTTTAATACATTTTTTAGTGTTTGGTGTATGTATTTTGCCAATTTATGTGTGGGGGCGTTGGTATTGTTTATTACCGGCCTGATTGGGGCCTCTTGTTTGTGAATTTTAATTTTTGCATTCATGTTGGGTGCTTTTGGGTTCATTTGTTGAACCTGTTTCTTTGTTGTGGAGTTTATTATTGTTTTGCATTGTTTTAGCGCGTTTTGAACGGCTTTTTGGAATTTTAGTGTGGGGTCTTTAAACTCGTTGTTTATTTGTTTTCCTTTCCTTCCTCTCTATCTTAGTTTCTATATTATTTCTTTCTCACTTTGTTTCTGTATTTCTATATTTCTTATTATATTTATTCGTGTCTTTTTCTATTTACTTACGTCTTTCCTCTATCTTTTCTTGTTTCCTTTCTCTTCATCTCATGCGTGGAAACGCTTTAAGTTTTAATTTTTTCAATACGAGTATATAATAACATTAATTCAGTCCAATGCTTTATTTATTTGCATGCTTACACAACAACCCAAAAAAAGTTAGTTATAAAATAAACACGAGCAAAAATGGAATCACACACACACAAAGACAAACCAAACCGTCGACTTGGACAATAATAAAAAATCAATAAGTTCAAACGCACCAGCCATCATGCGGCGAATAACATTGATGATGATAATAATAATAATAATAGTAATAATAATAATAATAATAATAATAATAATAATAGAGTTATAATTTATTTGCGTGAAAATGTAACAGCCCAAAGGCCAATTTCAGAGAGAAAAGGAGCAAATAAAATAAATAAGACATTTTCACATAAAATATAAATACAGAGCAATTTATATAATTTAATTCTTTATATATTTACGTGCTGAGGTGAACAGCCAGTGATCAATTACAGAGTCACCACGAATGCAAACAGAAAGAGCAATGAGACAACACAGGACAAAACGTTGAGAAAACAACAAAACAACAGAAAAAGAACAAAGACAAATGGCTCATTTAAGGCATTTTACACTCAGACATGAGTTACTTAAAATATATGTACATTTACAAACCAAACATGCAGCAGAAACATATCTAGCTGTAGGGCAGTGTGTGAAGGAGCAACTGAACGTGGTAAAGTAACGTGTGTTCAGAGTATAAATATAAATACCGACTGTTTCGAAGACAGAGAGACAGTTTTTAGTGTAAGTAAATATAATGTTATATTTTAGCGTCCTGTTGCACTGATTAAAGTCCATGATTTATTTCAACCGTCTTCCAGTGCATACACTCATCTATCTCACTCCTCTCTCTCGCACTACATGTTTCGGCACAAAAGTGCCATCTTNGTAAATATATTTATTTTAAAAGAGCATCTAAGTGATGATGCCTGATATGCAGTGTCTACAGATTTAATTTCTCCAGTATACTTGTAATATTATATAACGATGTTCCACGCCCTGAACACGAAATTGTTGTGGAAAAGGGCTGCAAATTTTCTTTGTATGGGCTCAAGTTTATTTTCTTTTTTCCCCCTCACTCACTCACTCACTCACTCTCACTCTCTCTCTCTCTCTCCTCTTGCTCCCACTTTGGAGCACACGGCTGATTTCTCAGTTTCATGATCATTTTACAGACAGTAGGACCCCTTGGACGAGTGTTCAGCTCGTCGCAAGGCCTCTACCTAAACACAGGATAAACTCATACACATACCAAACATCCATGCTTTGAGTGGGATTGGAACCCACGAGCTACCGTGACCGGGGCTCAAGTTTATTGGAGTCAGCAATTGTAACAGAGTTCCAGGCAACAGAAGCATACTCCGGTTTAGATCTAACCAAGGCAAATATAGCACCAATAGACTCTGGTAGAGAAGGAAAATATAGCAATGAAAATGAAGTTTACAATATATATATGTACACCCAGAACCTCAATACAAACTGTTCGCAATATGAAAGAGTTTCCAAGTCTGTATTGATAGTTTAAAATGTTTTGTTTCCCTGGTAAAGGAAATAACTCTAATTTTACTAAAGTTGGGAGTCATAAAATTTTCCGAACAACGTTCGTGTACACAATGTAAATCTTACAGTATCAGTAAACAATCACTAAATGAATTAATAAGAATAGTAGTAGTAGTAGTAGTAGTAGTAGTAGTAATAATAATAATAATAATAATAATAATAATATCTCAATTAAATTCTTTATTTATTTGCGTGCTGAACTCAACAGCCAGGGGCAAATTACAGAGTCAGAATGAATACAAACAGAAAGAGTAGTGAGACAACACAGGACAAAATACACACACAAAAAATCAAAATTGATCAATTATGGTTATTTACATTTAAGAATTAGTTAAGCATGTAAGGGTGACTTATAGACAGGTTATGGATTTCATGATTGGCTTTATTGCACCTTATAATTTCACACAAGGCGCGTAGTTGGTTGAAGTACTACGCCAAAAGCCGGAAGATCGAAGGTTCGAATCCAGATGAGGTGGATTTTTTTTTCCCAATTTACCTAATCCTTCCAGCCGCACTATGGCCCTGGGGTCGACTCAGCCTCTAACAAAAATGAGTACCAAGAATATTCCTGGGGGGTAAAGGGCGGCCGGCACGTAAGGCTGACAACCTTACCGCCATCTGTGAGCCGATTTTCTAGAGAAAATATGGGAGCCTCGATGTCACTCAAACCCTATGGACCTTCAAGTCCTGTTACAGTGATAGCTATATCATTTTATAATTCACACAGTTCACCGTTGCACACGCATTACGATTCTCAGACCTCACTAGTCGTATCCTGGCAACGGATTTATCACAGTCACTGTAACTTAAAATCGCGTATGAAGTCTTTCTACTGCCTAATTCATTTCTTGTCATTTCTTATCGATCACTTTCGACTGTCATCTCGAGAATTCGACCCAATTCTCTTCCAACTACTCTTCTATACTCGTCAAGCCACCTCCCTTGTCTCTTCACTGAAAAGCCCGACTTCTCTGGTTAAGGATGCGTGTTTACTGTTCCGTTACGTAGCAAGGGGATGTTCTGTTGTCGCATGAGCGTGTTGCGAGAATGTATTTACCGAGCCGTTGCATAGCAATGGGTATACACCTCACAATATAATAGCAGTGGTGACCACAGACCAAGTTCTCGTCCGTTCGTAACTTGTGCCAGTTTGCTGTTGCAGAGTACCTGGAGATGCAGCATCTGTCGCCGGAAGATGCAGAGCAGAGCCCAGCCGGTTATCCAGCAGGACTCTACAGACAGTCTTCTGGATGTCCCGATGTTGGAAGCGTTACAGAGGAGGCACTCTGACGTCAAGATCAACCCCGCTTCTGCAGGTATGAGGCGATCTGCCATTACATGGCAGTGGACACAAGCTTAAGCACATGGTCCCTTCCATGATTTTGTGTGACGTGTGTGAATGTATGTATAACTTTATCTTTAATACTAGTTTATTCAGCGACGTTTTATCAATTGCATACGCTAGGTATGGTTTATAGAATCACTGTCTGGCTATGAACAAATAATTTAATTTGCAAGGGCAATCTTGAAGATAAAACTGCTCAGTGAGGAGCTTCATAACTTCTACTCTTCGCCAAGTATAGTTACAATGATAAAGTCGAGGAGGATGAGATGAACAGGGCATGTAGCAAGAACAAAGGAGAAGAAAAATGAATGTAGGATATTTGTGGAAAAGTCAGAAGGAAAGAGACCACTAGGAAGACCAAGGAGTAGGTGGGTGGATGATATTAAAATGGATCTAAGGTAGGATGAGGTGGTATGGACTGCATCAATCTGGCTCAGGACAGAGACAAATGGAGGGTTCTTGTGAGCACGGTAATGAACTTTCGAGTGCCATAAAATGTTGGGAGATCCTTGAGTAGCTGCACGACGGGCTGCTTCTCCAGGACTCAGCTCCATGAAGTTAGTCTTGAAGAAGTAACTGCTTGTCGTGCTCGTAGACTGCTGATGTGCTACGTTGTCGGTTTTATTAATATTTAAGTAAAGAAGCGACAACGTAGCATACCAACAGTCTACAAACACGGCAAGAAGTTGCACCTTCAAGACCGCCCTTGCAAATAAAATTCATTCATTGCAAAAGGACGCTGAAATATAATATTATGAACATAGAAGCCTATAACATTATAATATATACATTTTACGCGACAGTGGGCAGCTGCAGTGTATAGTATATCTATTTTGTGATGGATGGGCAGATTATAATGAAACTCTGGACTCATTTCGACTGCGCATCTGTTTTCTCTGTCACCTAATATCAGCGCCTGAGCCATTATGATTTTATTCTGTGGTCTAGTGGTCAGAGTTTCTGGCTACAGATCCAAACGTCCCGTGTTCGATTCCCGGCGCTACAAGATTGTCTGAGAATTAGTGGGTCTGGAACGGAGTCCACTAAGCCTCGTGAGGATAATTAGGAACTATTTCAAGGAAATAGCGGCTCCGGTCTAGATAGCCGAGATTAACGGCCGTGGGGATCCGTTGCGCTGACCACGCGACACCCTTTATCCGCTGAAGTTGGCATTAACTTCGCTGACAAGCTTCGGTCGCTCGATCAATATAGTTCGCTTGCGGACTACATGCCACGGAGTTTGTATGGGAAAGAAAACTGAAGAGTCAGTTCCTGTTTTGAGCCATATTTACATAAAACAAATTCAATTTTATCTACGGCTCCAAATGGATTTCTTTCATAAACTGGGCCGATCACGATGGCCGTGTAGCCTAAGGAATGAACTTTCTTAATCCGCTCAAAGATTGATTTCGTGTGTTCGAATCCCACTTGAGGCATGAATGTCAGTGTGCGTTTGTTCTGTCTTGTGTATGCCTTGATACGGGCTGATCCCCCGTCCAAGGAGTCCCACCTACTGTGTAAAAGATGAGGAAACTGAAAAAGTGGCCAAAGTCCAACAAAATGTTGTAGAGCCATAGATGGATTGAAGGAAGGACAGACAGATTTTTTTTCTTGTCACTACAGCCCCAGTGGGCCTAGGCCTACCTCCTTGAACTTCACTTCGGTTTTTCTAGATCTTACACATTCGGTAGGACTCCTTGGGCGGCTGATCAGCTCGTCGCAAGGCCTCTACCTGTACACAAACTAAACATCCATGCCCTGAGTGGGAGGACAGACAGATGTATATCATAAAATGTTTATCGGATTCTATAAACAAGCTGCAAATAAGCTTAATGATTCTCAAAGAAAACCATTCAGAATTCTGTGTACATTACATTATGGAGTACAGCATTTCCCATCTTGTTGTCAAAGTATGAAATTTGTATGATGCTGTACTTTGCCTCTCTGCGTTACATTTTTTGAAGCTAATCACTTGCTCCTACTGAGAGGGTCTGTTAATTATTAACACTTTCCGGCTACGTCATCAGCCACTGGTAAGGCCATACTAGTATGCGGTTCATTCGGCCCCCTCCCCTCCCCCCCCACACACACACATTTGTCAACTACTAGGGGAGCAGCGGGAACTGTCTCTTATGACGGACTGAAGCCTGTGGTTAGCCCCAGTTCCCGTTGTTGGAACTGGATCCCTGCAGTCCCTTCATCGGTATCCAATTAGCGAGCTGTGTGATTGTCAGTCGGTTTGTTCTCCGATTCGAATACATATTAGAGACACAAATGTATTGGTTTCCGCAAAATCGGCATGAACGTAATGACAAAAAGTTATCATAGCTGTCGGGCGAACTTATGAAGTGGGAGTGAAACTAGTAACACTGAACGTAGTGTCAGAAGTTTTATTTGTCGGCCTTCCAAAATTATGTACCTGGTTTTAATATATTTTTAATTTACTTACTTACTCATGGAGCTGAGCCCTTCTTGAGGAGCCGCCAATTCTGCAGCTACTCAAGAATTTCCCAGCATTTTATGGATACCGAAGGTTCATTACCGTGTTTACAAGAGCCCTCCATTGGTCCCTATCCTGAGCCAGATCTATCCAATCCGTACCATCCCATCCTATCTCTCTAAGATCCATTTTAATATTGCCCACCCACCTACGCCTTGGTCTTCCCTGTGGTCTCTTTCCTTCTGGCTTTCCCACCAGTATTCTATACGCATTCCTCGTCTCACCTATTCATGCTACGTGTACATGCCCTGCCCACCTCATCCTCCTTGACTTGATCATTCTAATTATACTTGGAGAAGAGTACAAGTTATGAAGCTCCTCATTATGCAGTTTTCTCTACCTCCTGTCACTTCATCCATCTTCCGTCCAAATATTCCACTCAACACCCTGTTATCAAACACCCTCAATCTATGTTCCTCTCTTAATGTCAGAGACCAAGTTTCACACCCATACAGAACCACAGGCAAAATTATAGTTTTGTATATTCTAATTTTTATGTTTTTGGACAACAGACGAGAAGACAAAAGGTTCTGGACTGAATGGTAGCAAGCATTACGCGAGTTCAATCGCCTCTTAATTTCCTCCTGAATCAGGTTTCGATCTGTTATCGTTGTTCCCAAATATCTGAATTTTCAAAACATCTGTTTCCTATCTTTATGTCATGATTTTGCCCTGCATTTTGGTGACGAGACAGTAACATATACTTACGAGTAGTTTTCTCTGTTTACTTCTAGACCAACCTCTTTACTTACGTCAATTAAAGTTTGTGTGTTTTTCTTTATGGTATCTACATTATCACCCAGTAGATTCACATCATCGGCGTAGACCAACAGCTGATGTGTCCCGTTTAATTTCAGTCCCACCTGGTTTCCCTGGACCTTCATAATGGCATATTGTAAGGCAAAGTTGAAAAGGAGTGGCGATAAAGCATCTCCTTGTTTTAGACCATTCTGGATAGGAAATTTATCAGACAAATATTTACCTACACGGACTTACTATACGTTTCGTTTAAACACATTTTAATCAACCTAACTAGTTCCATTGGTATCTCAAACTCTATTAGAATATTGTACAATACTTCCCTCCTAACTCAATCATGGGCTTTGTTGAAGTCTACGAATAGCTGATGTACTGTCTCATCGTACTACCATTTTTTTCTCCAATATCTGACGAATGCAAACGATCTGATCTGTAGTTGATCTGTTACGTCAAATCCCACACTGATGATCCTCAATAATTTCATCTATATATGGACTTAACCTTGAAAGAAGAATATTGGATAAAATTTTGTATGAAGCTGATAGCAGATATTCCCCGATGATTACTACAGTCAGTTTTATCACCCTTCTTTTGAACGGGTACAATAATAGTCCCCTTCCACTGATCAGACAATTTTTCCTTATGCCAAATAGAAGTAATTAGATTGTGGATCTTAGAATGTAATATTTCGCCTCCTGCTTTAATAAGTTCTGCGGAAATTTGATCACTACCTGGCGATTTATACCGTTTCAATTTTGCAATAGCACTTTCAACCTCAAAAGGGCTAGGATCAGGTATTAACGGCTCAGCTGTATGGATTTCTGTCTGCCTAACAGTACTGACCCTATGTACATTCAATAACTGAGAGAAGTAGTTCCTCCACCTATTCAAAATATTGTGGGAATCTGCAAGCAGATCACCATTCTCACCCTTCACTAAGTTACTGCTAGGCTGGTAACCCCTCTTAAAGTCATTTATTCCTCTATACAAGTCTCTAATGTTCTTGTTCTTACAGTTCATTGCAAGCTCATCAATTTTGTCTTTCAGATATTCCCTCTTTTTGTTCCTGAAATGCCTGCTGGTTTCACATCTTATATTGTTCAGATTATCCCCATTTAACTCGCTTGGATCCTGTAACCATTGCAGTTTGGCCTGCTTTCTTCGTTCTAATAATTTTGAGCATCATTCATCGAACCTTGGCTTATCCTTCTTCGGTTCATAATAACCTAGACTCTCTTTGGCAGACATTTTTATATCCTCCCCTATAGTTTCCCAAGCTTTATTAACATCCACCTCAGTTTCCAAGTTTTCCAAAGCCGCGAACCTATTTGAGATTTCAACACAATACTGCTCTTTACCCTCTACCTCATTCAATTTCTTGAGATTGAACCTCTCCATGTAAACTCTGTGTATTGTTTGTTTGCCCACTGCCAGCCTTTCCCTTACCTTTGCCACCACCAGGTAGTGGTCAGTATCACAGTCTGCTGCCCTGAATGATCGGACATCAAGTATACTTGAGTGCCGTCTCCTATCTATCAAAATATGTTCTATTTGATTGTGCATCTTCCCATCAGGAGATGTCCAAGTAAATTTATGGATGTTACGATGTGGGAACATTGTACTTTTGACAGTGAGATTTTTTGATGTGGCAAAGTTTACTACTCTAACTCCATTATCATTACTAATTTCATGCAAACTCTCATTCCCAATCG